GTCAAATGCAGCACTAAGATCTAATAATACAAGTACAGAGACAAGTCCATTGTCAGAAGCAATCAGAAGGTCATTAGTAACTTTAACCAAAGCTGTCTCTGTGCTGTGATGAACTCTAAATCCTGACTGAAAATCCTCAAATAAACTATTGTTATGTAGAAAGTCACACAACTCTTTGGCGACTACTTTCTCCAGAATCTTAGAGAGGAAGGGGAGGTTAGAAATCGGTCTATAGTTGGCTAAAACCCCTGGGTCAAGAGTGGACTTTTTAAGAAGGGGTTTAATTACAGCTACTTTAAAGGACTGTGGTACATATCCTGATAATAAAGAAAGATTAATCATATCCAGTAAAGAAGTTCCAATTAAGGGAACAACTTCTTTAAGCAGCCAGTTGGGATCGGGTCTAACAGACAGGTTGATGGCTTCGATGTAGAAACTGTTGAAGTTAACTGATGAAGATCGATAGCAGAAAAACAGTCTAAATATACATTTGAGTTTACATTAGTTAAAGTTCCTGAACTTGGAGAGCCACTGATAGCTGTTGATGGCAGTTGGTGATTAATTTTCTCTCTAATAGTAATAATTTTATTATAAAAGAAGCTCATGAAGTCATTGCTACTTAAGTTTATGGGGATATGTGGCTCAATAGAGCTGTGACTTTCTATCAGCCTGGCTACAGTGCTGAAGAGAAACCTACAGAATCATATTTTAAGGTGGAGGGCCACTGACCAAGTTGCAGTTGATCAGAATCAGAATCAGAATCAGGTATATTGCCAATTAAGTTTTTACACAAACGAGGGATTTGTCTTGGTGCATTGGTGCATAAAATATACAAATCACACAAAAATCACACAAGATTGATCATTTGGGAGTGATGATGAGTCAATCTAAATCATGTAAATGCATCATATGTGAAATATCCCAAAAAATACATCTCCATATACAAACTTTTCACCTATTATTTCACAGGTGAGAAATTCATAATTTTGTTTCTAAAGTGGGGGTAAATGGCATTATGTTGACATTTATAGGTCCTACATTCATCTGAAGAAATAGTCCCAATGGAAACTGAGATGTATTTGGTAAATTGAACTGTGAACTGATTTAAAAAGACAATATGTGGAAACAATAAAGGTGTGTGCAGAAAGTTGCATTCCCTCCATGCTGTTGGCTGTAACAGAGCTGATTGGTTTTTCACATGCCTTACAACACGCTGCACACCCACTCTTACTAACTACAATGGAATGCCACCAAATCACCAATGGCTGCCAGGCCTCCAAGAATAATTGGGCAACTTAGCCTTTAATTAGCACTTGAAATCTGCATTCACCAGAGGGCACAACACTGTAAAAGTACAGTATGTTATAGACACACCCCTGTTCTTTCTCTGTGTCTGCCAACTGGCTGTGCGTCTGTCATTATTAATGAAGGAGGCGCTCCAGCATGGCAAGCTGATAGTGCAGATTGCTATTAGAAATGTTGTTGTTTATCTTTATGAGTCATTTAAATATTTAGGTCAAGGTCGAGATGTCAGATGAGGTGAAGATTTGATTGTTGAATTAGGAACACCCCCTATGATATGTAATATAGACCTGATTTGCATACAGTAGTGTTCCTGCTTTTGCACACCTTATGAAACAGAGCAGTGGGTTGGCCTAGATTATCAACTGGGGAAAGTGCACAACCCCAAACCTTCAGACTCACTATATAGATTGTATGTTGTCTTGTGAGTATTGTTGTTGTAACATTTTCATGCTGCTGTCTGGTCCAACTTTGGAAGATTTGGACATATGATACAATAAACATGTTTACACAAAATATCCAATATTGCAGGTTAATGCAGTCATAGGGGAGAAAATCGGTCCAGCTCAAAGCAGCACAGCCAAACTGGACGCTGTTCTCATCAGGGGTGGCTCTAGAGGGGTGGAATAGGGTGACAGGTGCCACCCCTACAAAACGCTTAGCCACCCAAGTTTGGCATCAAATGCTGTCAATTTAACACATAACCTTAAGTAGCAATGACTTCATGAGCTTCTTTTATAATAAAATGATTACTATTAGAGAGAAAATTAATCACCAACTGCCATCAACAGCTATCAGTGGCTCTCCAAGTTCAGGGACTTTTACTAATGTAAACTTAGATATATATTTTGACTGTTTTTCTGCTATTGATCTTCATCAGTTAACTTTCTAAATTTCTTCATCGAAGCCATCAACCTGTCTGTTAGACCCGATCCCAACTAGGCCGCTTAAAGAAGTTGTTCCCTTAATTGGCACTTCTTTCCTGGATATGATTAATCTTTCTTTATAATCAGGATATGTACCACAGTCCTTTAAAGTAGCTGTAATTAAACCCCTTCTTAAAAAGCCCACTCTTGACCCAGGGGTTTTAGCCAACTATTGACCAATCTCTAACCTCCCCTTCCTCTCTAAGATTCTGGAGAAAGTAGTCGCCAAAGAGTTGTGTGACTTTCTACATAACAATAGTTTATTTGAGGATTTTCAGTCAGGATTTAGAGTTCATCACAGCACAGAGACAGCTCTGGTTAAAGTTAATAATGACCTTCTGATTGCTTCTGACAATGGACTTGTCTCTGTACCTGTATTATTAGATCTTAGTGCTGCATTTGACACCATTGACCATGATATTCTTTTACAGAGACTTGAGCATCAAATTGGCATTAAAGGAACCGCACTAAGCTGGTTTAAGTCATATTTATCAGATCGCTCGCAGTTTGTACATGTTAACGATGAATCTTCAATAAATACTACAGTTAGTCATGGAGTTCCACAAGGTTCTGTACTTGGACCAATACTATTTACTTTATATATGCTCCCTTTAGGCAACATTATTAGGAATCACTCCATTAACTTTCACTGTTATGCAGATGATACGCAGTTATATCTATCGATCAAGCCCGATGAAATTAATCAATTATCTAAATTACAAACATGTCTTAAGGACATAAAATCCTGGATGAGCTGCAATTTTCTGATGTTAAACTCAGAAAAAAACGAAATTCTTGTTCTTGGCCCCAAAAACCTTAGAGACTCACTGTCTAAAGATATAGTTACTCTAGATGGCATTACCTTGGCCTCTAGCACCACTGTCAGGAATCTTGGAGTTATCTTTAATCAGGATTTGTCATTTAACTCCCACATAAAGCAGACCTCCAGGACTGCCTACTTTCATTTACGTAATATTACAAAAATTAGACACATCCTATCACAGACAGATGCAGAAAAACTAATCCATGCATTTGTTACTTCAAGGCTGGATTACTGCAACTCTTTATTATCAGGCTGCCCCAATAAGTCCATTAAAACGCTCCAATTAATTCAGAACGCTGCAGCATGAGTACTGACAGGAACTAGAAAAATAGATCACGTCTCTCCTGTACAAGCTTCTCTGCACTGGCTCCCTCCAAAATGTAGAATAGAATTTAAAATCCTCCTCCTCACCTATAAAGCTCTTCATGGTCAGGCCCCTTCATATCTCAAAGAGCTCATAGTACCCTATTACCCTTTTAACAGGCAGTTTTTCCTTGCCCTTGTCGCCAAGTGCTTGCTCATGGTGGTACTGTTGGGTTTCTGTAAATAATGTTATAAAGAGTTTGGTCTAGACCTACTCTATTTGAAAAGTGTCCTGAGATAACTTCTGTTATGAATTGGCGCTATACAAATAAAATTGAATTGAATTTAGATTAACTTAAAAAGCTGAAATTTACTGAATTACCTTTTATGGCTACATTTGAGAGTTTTTTTAGGCTCAAGTTCAATGAAAAAGGACATGTATTTGGAAAAATCTTAGATACCAGTATACCTTTAGATGTTTCTATTCAATGCTTTACTAATGTGCCACAATAATGTTTTTTGAGTTCAAATATTTTCATTTAGATGTTTTTTGCAAATATTGCAAATATTGATATATGTGATTGTTTTTGATCAAAACAGCATATATTTCTGCCACCTCTTAAAGTCTCCATGCCACACTCTGGTCAACTCATGAATATTGCTCTAGATCTGCCCCTGGTCCTCATACAGAACATAAAACAACCTTGAAGTACTCTTGTGATGCTCTTCCTATATTTTGTACCTCTTACTCTTTATTTGAAAGCTGTGCAGTTATTGTTGTTCAGATTAATATTTTAAAATCAGTCGAAGTAGTTCAAATGAGCACCACTGAGATGTAATGCTGTTAATGCATCAGTAATAATCACAGTGTAAACAGTAAATTTGCTTTTGATACTTCAAGTATATTTTCTTAATTCCTTTGCTTATCTAACATGTTTAACTTGTACTGGAACAGCTTTACATTGTGGTATCACTACTTTTACTTCAAAAGCACAGTCTCTCTTTTTTTTTATCAGATCACGAGAAATTATAAAGCAATCCCAGTTTTGCCAGTCTCTCCCCTCTCTGACGATACTGCTGCGAGTACCGGAGAACCGCCTTATTATCACCTGAATGAGGCTTCACGGAGCATGGAGAGGAATAGCCGTGCTGCCGCTGGCGCCTGGTGGCTGAAGCCTGCAGCAGAAACAAATCCCCCACCCCCACCCCCCGCGCTTCTACGGGCATGACAGCCGGGGAGGAATGGACGAGTGCGTTTTTGTGAAGGGACTGTGTGATCCGCACAGGCTCTCTGTCTGCTCATGTTTTCACACAGACGGAGAGATGTTTCACATTGAAGGATCGGCATTTTTATCAACCAGCAAGAACTGTTTGTGTCAACACAGTAAATAAATAAATGGACGAAGCAAACACGGAAAAAAGCGGCACTACTGTGTGCGTAAACGCACCGTACCCGAATGCGTATTGCGCAGGGCAGAGGGTACCTGCAGCATCTCTCTTCCTCTTTGTGCACAGCCTGTGTGCCCTTTTAGTATCGGTTTCGTTGCTCTTTTTCCAACAACGTGTTAATTGCTTATTATGTCTTTTAGTGGCGCTGATGTAGGGGCGGTCGCTGCCTCTGCCCTGCCAGTTGTTGGCCAGGTTTGACGATGGGCGGGTTCTTCCCTGAGAAGGTTAAGTAGCCCGCAGCTGAGCAGAGCGAGCATTCCGCACCAGTACCTCCTCTGACTCTCTCACCACCTCTCTGTCTCTGAGTCGCAGGGAAACTCGGACTTTTATACCAAGGCTAAATTTAGGGGGCTGGCCGGTGCGCAGCGTCCCCATCCTGGACGCGCTTCCTTCCCCAAGCCTCGCATTGGTCTGATCCGTGCAGCGACGCAATACTTATAAGAAAAGCAGCTACTTCCAGGCACACAGCTGCATATGAGTGAGGAGCAGCAGCTCATCGGACGGCAAAAGAAGTAACGCGCTCTGTAGCTTTTTCTGGAGACTCGGCGTACTCTGGTGATTTCCTTAAAAACAGATAAAGTGTTTTTCTACTTTTTTAAATAACGCATGGAAATGGCCTTGAGTGGGACCATTTTACCATCAATCTCGACGTTTGCCAACCAAAAGGAGAAATGTTGGGAAGATGTAAGTTTCGCTGTTTGTATATTTACACATGTTTTGAGCACTGATACAGTTCGGGGTATTGAACATAACTGAATACTTGTTCTGTATCATTCTGTCATATCAGAACTCAGCCTACACGGTGTTTTCTGCTCACTGAAACTTTTTCAACTTTGGAATTTCTCTAATTAGATTCACTGTGATTGTGGTTAAATAATGTTTACAGTTGAAACAGTTTCTTGGTATTCAGTCCTCCGTGTACTTTTTGTGCTGTTTTCGAGATATTTTATCAGAGTTAACTGCAGTGCTGTAACACAAAAACTAAAACTAAACAAACTAACTCTACTGTCTCATTCTCGCTCCAGAGGTGGAAGGGCGACATAAGCAGCGTGTCCAACATGGACAGCACCTGCCTGGGCAGGAAAGACGAAGAAGACCTGGATAAGTTCTTGGATCTTGAGTTTATTCTGGCTAACACCGCCGTCTCTGACAGTGCGTCGGTGTCCGGGACGGTGGCAGAATCCTATCGGCTCCAGGAGTCCGGGGCGTCCGTGTATCACCACCACCACCAGCAGCGGCACACCGCGATGCCCCAGCAGCCGGCCAATTACACCTCTGTCCCAGACATGAACAGCCCACCGCCGCCCTACAACAGCCTGATGGCGGAGCTCCTTCGCTCCGACGTGGATACCAGCTTCCTCCCTGGGAACAGCCCAGGCATCCAGGGCAGATTCCTGATCAGCTCCACGCCTTTCCAGCCCAATCAGGATTTATTCCCTGAGCTTCCGAGCATTAAAGTGGAGCCAGCCTCTATGGACGCGTACGGACCTGTTACTGGTCTGGTGCCTCAGAGCTGCACCAAAATCAAGCAAGAGGGGAACGTCTCCTGCATGATGTCATATGAGCAGCAGCCTCGGCTGGCCAACTCCCCGCAGGCCGCCGTGGGTAGCATGACGCCGCCCCTTAGCCCGGATGACCTGAGGAGCTCCGAGTGTCACCAGCCCCAGATATGCAACTCCACCTCGCTGACGTTCCCGCAGAGCTTCCACCCCCACCACCGCTGCGCGCCTGGGGGATTCCCTCACCCACACAACGGCATGCAGCTCCCGTTCCCCGGGGCGCACCATCACCACCAGTTCCCCGGCATGTTCGAGGAGGACGCGGCCATGGGCATGCAGCAGCAGCCAGCGGCCGGCCAGCGCGTCCTGCTAACCCCGCCGTCCTCCCCGCTGGAAATGATGGACGCCAAGCCGAAGAGGGGTCGCCGGTCCTGGCCGAGGAAACGGACTGCGACGCACACCTGCACTTTCACCGGCTGTGGGAAGACCTACACCAAGAGCTCCCACCTAAAGGCCCATCTCAGGACACACACAGGTAAGACTGCACGTTTAACGTCATCCATCTATCCCGTCATACCTACCGCCAAACCATGACGTCACTCACGGCTGTTGTGTGTTTACAGGAGAGAAGCCCTACCACTGTAGCTGGGAGGGTTGCGGTTGGAAGTTCGCTCGCTCCGATGAGCTCACACGTCATTTCCGGAAGCACACTGGACACAGGCCGTTCCAGTGTCACCTGTGCGAGCGGGCCTTCTCTCGCTCGGATCACCTGGCCCTGCACATGAAGAGGCACATGTGAGGCGGGTCCTGAGGGACAGACCTGGAGGAGACAAGGACTTCTATGCACCGATAAAGAGAACTGTAATAATCCTGTGACCAGCTATAGAAGAATGCTATGCAAACATATAGACGCAGGTTCCTATAGGAATGTTAACTATAGTGGTACCATAACAGCATAAACTGCCATACAGTATGACGATGCCACTACTGACTACACTGTAATACCTATAGGTTCATTATAGGAGCATTATAGTGATTTTTCATTGGGGCAAAGGGAGCATCACGGGAAGCCCTCAAATTATATTTTGTAAAAAAAAAAAAAAAAAAAAAAAAAAAAATTCTATTTAAATGTTATTTTTGAAAGTAATAAATCACAAAACAATGAGGAAATACAGCCAGATAGGACAGAAACAGAGCAACTCTGTTCAGACTGAAGTTTTTTAACTATAAAGTTGGATATGTAGCTGGTACTACTTTTGTATGGAGTGCCGTTAGGCAACAAATTAAAGGAACATTCCACTCAACATGTCAGGCACATGCCACTGAAGCAACTGGAAACAGACAATCCCTCAAAGAGTGATGATTTTTGTTTTGTATTTTCCCCATTAGTGCCTTCTATAACACATTATTACACACATTACGAGTGCCATATTCTCCACTGGCTAGAAGATAATCAAAGATTTATTATGTGTGTTATTTTGTAAGTGTAAACAGCACGTGAAATAAGCTTTGAGACAATGTTTTGTTCTAAAACTGCCTTTCATTCTGTCCTCCCTGAAGGCTTGAATAGAATGTGTCTGTGAGTCTGTGTTATCTACTAGCATTTGAAGTCAGGGTCTTAGTCTCACAGAAGTGCATGCCATCTCAACACCACCTGATTGACAAAGGGCTACTCAGTCTTTGGCAAAAAAGCCTTGTTTGTTCGTGTCTTGAAGAAATGTACTGCCTTGTAAATAGAATCTTTTTTATATAATGTAAATAGTTTATTTTATTGTACATATTAAACTAAATGACAACATGAGTCCTGAGTGTGATTATCAAATATTTGGATAGAGGGTTAACAAAAAAAAAAACCTGGCTTGATATTTACATACATACATACATACATACACACACACACACACACACACACACACACACACACACACAGTTCACAGTTTCCAACTTGGAGGTTCAGACACCCAAGGAATACTGAAGGTTCACAAGATGATAGACCACACCGTAAAAAAAGAAGACACAATAAATGTACAAATAATGTTTGTTTCCTACATTTCCAATAGTGGCTATTTGTACTTTCTCAAGACTAAAAACTGTTAAAAAGTCTAAAAATTCAATTCCATTCAGTTTATTTGTATAGTGCCAATCCATAACATATGTTATCTCAGTACGGTACACTGTAAATAATTTAATAAGGAGTATGGTCTAGACCTGCTCTATTTGAAGAGACCCAACAGTTCCCACCATGAATATTTCAAAATGGCACCCACCGTGGTCGACGTGTTTGCTTCGCTCTCCCAACGTAACTTTTTGTTCGTTTATTTTTGTTACTGTGCATCTTACATGCACAGCTCGTGTGTGCGACAGTCTGCACTTTACATTTTATGTTGTAAGTTATATGTTATATTTTAGTTATATTTTATATTGAACATTTTTATATACATATATTCTTAATTTTTATGTTCTTACTGTTCTACTTGTTTGTTACCTCAGGGAGTCAGGCAAAGTAAGATTTTCATTGTGCGTACTAGCCTTGTGTTTATACTGTACATATGATAATAAACCTCTTGAACCATGAGCAAGCACTTGGCGACGGTGGCAGAATAAGAGAAGAGAATATAATACTGGTTGAACTGCCCCTTGTTGCCAATCAACAATTGGCAACAAGGGGTTGTGGGTAGAGCTTGGTTTGCTATAAAGAGGAACAAAGTTCAGGTAAAACTGCCTTAAAACAAAGCACCTCTTTTCAGATCATACATATTTACAGCTTCTGTCCAGATCAACTAAAAATTATTCTTCCCTCTCAAATTGTTTATTTGAATAACTCTTACATGCCAGAGGAGGTAAAATTCTGCAACAAAGGGGCACCCTGGTAGCTCACCTGGTACCCCATGTACCAAGGCTGAGGCCTTACTTGAGCTATCCTGTCAAATAAGGCTAAGGCAGGCAGTAATTCACAGAAAGAAGTCTGATTTTGTACAGCAAAAAAATCCGCTCTCCTAGCCTGGTTCCGAAGATTAGGTAATTTTATTAAAAATTCCAAAGATACCACAATGTTGGGGCAATCTATCTGAAATGATGCACAATACATGTTGAATATTTCACTTTTAATCCTGAAGGTGACGGTTCAGAGACAGAGGTTCAGCAGGTGAGCCATGGTCAGAAGCTGGTTCGGCCCAAAGGGTCCCGTCTGCAGCGTTGGACCAATGCTTCCCAGCTGGGACATAGCAGCTGCCAGAGCACTGTGTATAAATACAAACATTACATTGACATAATTACAGAGGCTCGATATATAACGGAGGCAGCGTTGGGGCATGGGGCGAACCACAATGAGTGGGAGGTACGGAGGGGTGAAAGAAAGAGAAACCCTGTCTCAAATAAACCGAAGGAGACTTCAGCAGGGATGAGGAGAATAATCTGTTCAAGTTCTTTCAGGCTGAATGGTGGGAAAAATATTTTTTTTATTACATGTGAGTAGGATTACTATCAGCATTTGCACATGTAATTTTTTTATTCCAAAGATAAGACATAAAACACACAGATTCCTGTGAGCCAGCGGATTTTTTCCCCTCCTAGAAAGCAGGTGTTTAGATGACCAAGATACCATCAGGGCTGTGGGTTGAATTGTTACATCAGGAGTCACTTATAGAGAGCCACAATATGGAAATCGTTTATATGAAAATGACTGTTGTGTCAAAGTCCACAAGAGCATGACAGAGGTGACGGAGGAAAAAAAAAAAGGGAGTTTGATCATCTGAGTGCATTCAAGCACAGTGAAGTTCTCTGTCATTGTAGCAAATAAAGCTCTGACACATATTCAAACAGCAATGCTCACATAAGCCAGTAAGCGGTCAGCTTGGTGGAGTTTTTTTTTTCTTTCAAACTCTCTTTTCACTCTTCACTCAGCCACTTCCGTCACTTTTCATGTAAACTGAGTGCAACGCCTTCAAGGAGAGACTGTTGTCCTCATTCGTACCATTACTTACAATTCCCTGACAGCAGACTGTTCACTTCACCTACAAGTCATAATGCAAGTAATAATATATTGAAGAGGCTCCATTATTCTCTTTTTGAGGTTCATACTTTTTAATGGGATAGAACAGGTTTACATGCTTTAATGTTCAATGCCCGTTTTGCATGCTGCAATTCGTAACTTGATTGGATGCTGTCGGATTGGTTCAAACAAAGTGGACCTGGGGAATTAAATGTTAGCTTGCTGGGAATGAAAAGCGTTAACTTTGAAAATGAAGGGAAATTAATAGTTTTGTGGCAAACTTTTTAAACAACAGACTTTTTAGTCCAAGGGCTTGGGGAAGGTACCAAGTATTTTCAAGTCAAAAGGCTCAAGTAAACGTGAAGTCACAAGTCATTGGTGCTAAAGTCCAAGTTGGGTTACACATTTTTTCTGATTCTGCCAAGTCAAGTCTAAAGTCATCAAGTATTTGACTCTAGTCCATGCCTCTGTTTCCTTTAGACATGGGTAAATGACACGTTGTATGTCCTGGTTCGTAGGTAAAGGTAGCTCAGAAAGTAGAACTAGAAGTAGTAAAGTAGAACCTTCACCAGCCATGCACTACTACAGTGCTTCAGCCTGCTTTATGGTTCAACTGATTTTATTAAAGGACCAGTATGTAGGATTTAGTGGCATCTACCAGCGAAGTTGCAGATTGCAACTAACTGAACACCGCTCACGTCTGTATTTGACAACCTTGGAATGAGAACAGTCGGTGTAGGAGAAACTACGGTGGCCACGAAACTCACAAAAAACATGGCGGACTCCATGAGTCTGGACACAACAATTCTTATTTTCAGGTGATTATAGGCTAATGAAAACATACCTATGAATATTATATTCCATTTTTGACAATAGATCTTTTTTTTTGGTAGTTATTTTTGTAGTTTTGGCAATCATTCCTATTGGTGATAACCACAGTGACATTGCTATTGGACTGGTCTCGAAACACAACACGTTCAGACAGGCCAGAAATAAGCCTCCGGGTTACTTATTTGGAAGAAAAAAACGCAGAATAATAGTAAAATCACCCATCATATCACCATTCTATTACAACTGATAACAAGAAATTATCCTTTAACTCCAAGAAGCATGCAGGTATGCCACATAGTTTATTTGTGTGAGATGGTTGTTCATGAAACTCTTCACTGCCTCTCCATTTCACACTTGCACTGGTGCAGCAGTCAGAAGGCCTGTGTCTATTTTCGATTGCGAAAGGCCACACATCTCGGTGTCATCTCCAGGACGGCCCTGTGCCAGCCCTTAGAAAAGAGGAAGCCCCCGCTTCTATTATTAGTACATTTACTCAAGTGAAAAATCAAACATTTTCATTTCACTTTTTCAGCTGGGTACAGGATGATGGCTGCTGCTGCAGAGCGTGGGAATCTCTGCCCTGAGGGGTCAGATAGTTTACATGCTGGTTTCTGCTTTCTCTCAGATACACAGTTGTGTGTGTGTGAAACAACTCTGTGTGACGGCTCCTGAGCACTCTGATGGGTTAGCCTGCTCTTGTCTGCCGAAGCATTTTTAAAAATTATGCAGATACCAAACATGCCAGGCTGAATTTGGAGGGAAATGAATCAAATCCAGAACATTTCCATTTGCTGAAAAGGTGCAGCTTTTAATGTGATTTCCTTCATTCATCTAAATGACAAAAACACATTTTCTCACTGACTACTAATTGTATCTGCCCATATTGGTTCAGGTTTTTTCATGTTTACAGTGGAGTTGAATGGAATTTCTTTTGTGGAGGTCATGAGTCAAAAGAAAATATATTATGTAGATTGTTTGTAGTATGAATTGTATCAAATCATTATATCCCTTGCAGAAAGTTGTTCCAATGAAAACAGGGGAAAACTGTGATAATCCAGACACTGTTGCAATTGCTGTTGAATTTTGTAAAAGTAATTTTTCATTGACGCGAGCAGTACAAACAAAGCTGAGCTTTACAGCAAAAAAAAGAAATACAGAGTAGTAAAATACAGACCCTAATAAAATAAGCAGTACTGTAGTGAGCAGGTAAAGCTGACTACAGTTCAAAGAAACCATCCAAACTAATCCCAGTCTTTCAGTGGCTGTTGTGGCTCCTCTCCTTTCTGACATTACATCACTGAGCCCTGAACAGGTAGAGGGGCTTTTATTTGGTTCCCTGCTCGCACATGAACCGTTCCACGCACACCTCTAGTGTATAAACACAATCTATAAACCAGGGGGATACAACTCATGTGACATTAGGCCTACCCTTTGTGAGGCATTCTTTCCCATTACGATGCGTTTTTCACAGATTCTCCCTCCTGCCTTGCCAGCCAAGACTAATATTTTCTGTTAACAAGAGGCTGTAAACATGCTTACAAGCTCTTGTGCAAGAGTTTATCTCAGAGGAACTCCCCTCCAGAGTGTTTAACAGCTTATTCTTGTCCAAGTTCAACATAACGCACTCATAAAACCATAGAAAACTGATACCAGAAAGGTGGAGATCAGCAGCGTTTCTGCTCTCAGTGCAGTCAAAAGGCCACGGAGGATTTATCCGCTGCAGAATTTGCATTTGAAACCAACACTGTGAAACTTTTTAAGGTTCCAAATGATCTTCCTTGGGTTAATCACATCTAGAGATGATATCTTGCTTATTTTAGTATGTGGAGGCTAACACAGAGCTGTAATACTGAATCATGACTGCTGATTCTTTACCAGTAAATGAGGAGACTCCAGGTAATATTCACTGGATTTCCTGTGAACTTTATCAGCTGTTTGAGAAACAAAAGATAAGACAAGCCTTCTTGAAACATCAGCCTTAACTGAAAAAAACATATCTGAATGGATACCCAGAAACACAGATGCCCAGCACTGTCTGAGGAAAAGTTGGGAATTGCATTTATGGAAAGAGTATGCCATCTACTGGGACAGCTGCAAACATCTGATGGAATCTGGTCCCTGAACACCTCATCACACTTTTACTAATGCAGCAGTTTCTTAGTTAGGGAGTTAGTTCAGCTGGGTTTGGAACCTTTCCGATGGTTTTCCATTCCATTTCATACTTATTTCTCTCTTCTTGAGGAAGTTAGGGAGGAGGGTTGGAGGAAGATAAAGGAGGGAAGATATGGCTTGTGTTCCAGATAAACAAGTTAATCATGCTCCCAGTCAAATAACCGTAAAATTCCGTATACATATTTAATAAGGATGGAAAAAATGAAAAAAAATTGGGAAAAAAATTTGTGGGTCAAGAACTTCTGTAAAGAAACTGAATTAATTACCAGAAATTAGTTCACCTAGAGCGAGACCAGATCAGAACATGAGGGAGGAATACTTTTCCTCCAATGGCATTTTAGGCTATATGCATTACTTTACACACACACCTACAAACACCTACACAGACATACACACACACACACACTTCATTTCTACTTCTATTGACTACAACCACCAGCCTGTCCATCCTCCTCTTACTCTTTGTGATCCCCGGCCCCCCACACCCCCACCACCCCACCCCAAGTTGATCACATCCACCGGCTTATGATCACAACTGCTCTCAATCAGCTCATGTCAGGAAAGATTTCCTCCCTCTGCGTGAGTGTGTGTGTGTTTGTGTATGTGTGTTTGTGTGAGGCTTCATGTGAATACCTACTGTCTCGTCTGGTTTCAGCTAGGTAACAAAACTGTTTTTTGTTAGCAAATTGCTAACAGACCTGTTGCCTCCAGCCAGCTCTGGTTCTTCTTGATACTGTGGCTTATAACACACACACGCGCACGCGCACACGCACACGCACACACACACACACACTCCCCCCAGGCATGTGATTGCCATGAAAATGAGTTACAGTAGGTGTGTGTTGCAACACAAGGTCCCCTAATAGGGACCTTGCAGATGGAGGTTAAAAAAAAAAAACATAGGCCAGTTTAAAATTTCACCAGTGGATTAAATGAGTTTGCAACGCTGATTGAATACAGACCGCCTGCCTGTGTGGATGGTTGGATTACACCGACTCTGCTTGCTCATTTCATTTCTGTGTAAACAGATGAAATCAAATATTTGCATGTGTCTTGTATCTCAAACACATCTGGTATTTAGGCAGGTGATTTCTGTTTGAACAGCCAGAGCTGATTTTCAGAAGAAAAGCAGGACTAAGGTTAAAAAGAACAACAGTCTGCAGCCATGCTTGCAGCTCTGAGAGGCAGACTGAATGCTAATGTCAGCATGCAAACAATGACAATGTTAATGCTGATGATTAGCAGGTATAATGAGAGTATGAGTAAAAAGTAGCCAGCCAGTAGCCTAATGTGAACTGCACTACCACATTAACTAAATCACATTATTCTTTGACAAACAGGAAACATGAGTATTCAACGATGAATTACTTCTAAATATTCAGAATAAAAGATTTCTCTACACACAAAGAGGTTCCCTTGTTAGCTGTGTAAAAAGGTTAGTTTACTGTAAACCTGTACTAACCACAATCCAACATGACCTCACTGCTCTAATTTTTATAAATTATTGTCTGTAATGTGAATTAAGTCTGCTTGTAAATCTCTAAATCATCCGACTCTTGCTTAAACATGATTTCATCTTGGGACCCTTACTTGCCAGAATTTTAGACATGGAGGACTCCTTAGAAGAAGACCCGCTCGTAACGTAACACAACGATGTTACACACTGCACCTTTAAATTCCCTCATACTATTCTGAGAACCTGACCTCAAAGTGCTTAGGGCTGCAACAAATGGTTGTTTTTATGTTACTTTAAAGCAGCAAGTTGGTAATTTTATTTTAAAAAATTCCCTCATATTTGCCGAAACCTTCACTATATCCTGACTATAGTACATGAGACAGATAATCTGTGAAAAATCAGGTTCCTCTGGCTCCTCCTGGTGCTCCTAATGACATTTGTAAGAATCCACCAGGCCTAAAACCCTTCTTAAAAAGCCCACTCTTGACCCAGGGGTTTTAGCGATCTATAGACCCATTTCTAACCTCCCCTTCCTCTCTAAAATTCTGGAGAAAGAAGTCGCCAAACAGTTGTGTGACTTTCTGAGTTTAACATCAGGAAATTGCAGCTCATCCAGGTTTTTATGTCCTTAAGACATACTTGTAATTTAGATAACTGACAAACTTTCATCAGGCTTGATCAACAGGTATAACTGGGTATCATCTGCATAACAGTGAAAGTTAATGGAGTGATTCCTAATAATATTGCTTAAGGGGAGCATATATAACGTGAATAGAATTGGTCCACAGAACCTTGTGGAACTCCATGACTTACTTAAGTATTTATGGAGGATTCATCGTTAACGTGTACAAACTGAGAACGATCTGATAAATATGACTTAAACCAGCTTAGTGCGGTTCCTTTAATGCCAATTTGATGCTTAAGTCTCTATAAAAGAATATTATGGTCAATGGTGTCAAATGCGGCACTAAGATCTAATAATACAAGTACATTGTCGGAAGCAATTAAAAGGTCATTATTAACTTTAACCAGAGCTGTCTCTGTGCTGTGATGAACTCTAAATCCTGACTGAAAATCCTCAAATAAACTATTGTTATGTAGAAAGTCACACAACTGCTTGGCGACTACTTTCTCCAGTATCTTAGAGAGGAAGGGGAGGTTAGAAATCGGTCTATAGTTGGCTAAGACACCTAGGTCAAGAGTGGGCTTTTTAAGAAGGGGTTTAATTACAGCTACTTTAAAAAGGACTGTGGTACATATCCTGATAATAAAGAAAGATTGATCATATCCAGTAAAGAAGTGCCAATTAAGGGTACGACTTCTTTAAGCAGCCTAGTTGGGATCAGGTCTAACAGACAGGTTTATGGTTTCGATGTAGAAATTACTGAAGTTAGTTGATGCAGCTCGATAGCAGAAAAACAGTCTAAATATATATCTGATTTTACATTTGTTAAAGTTCCTGAACTTGGAGAGACAGCGATACCTGTTGAGGGCATTTGGTGATTAATTTTGTCTCTAATAGTAATAATTTTATCAAAAAGAAGCTTATAAAGTTGTTGCTACTTAGGGTTATGGAGATACGTGGCTCAAAAGAGTTGTGACTCTCTGTCAGCCTGGCTACAGTGCTGAAGAGGAACCTGGGGTTGTTCTTATTTTCCTCTATTAGTGCTGAATAATAGGCTGCTCTGGCATTACGGAGGGCCTTTCTTTATGTGTTAGACGATATTCAAATAATTTGGAAGAACGCCTTTTTCTTTCAGATTTCCGCGCTTTTGATTTAATTGGCAGGTTTGGTGGTTGTACCACGGTGCTAGCCTCCTATGTGTGATTAAAACAATGAGTGGGTTTATTTACACTCTGAGAGAAGCCAATTGAGTCTATTAATGAGGTAAATGCGTTACTAAGGCTGTCGTTGTCAACATCCACATTGTGATGACCCCTCCCCCCTCTGGTTGGTCTGAGTCTTTTTCCCTTCTTTCCAGGAGACAGAGTGGCAGAGGGTGTGGCAATTAGATGGGCTACACCTGGCGTGTCCTGATTGCTGCTCTTTATAAATGGCTGATTTGTAATCATTCTCTCTCTCCTTCCAGTCAGCAGGTTCCTGGTTTGTTGCTGTCTTTGGTTTGCTGATAGGCTTTGGTGTTTGGAGATATGCATCGGTGTTTGGAGATATGCATCACCTTTTTCCACACACACACTCACTCCACTACTGACCTCACTGACATACACTTGAAGTTGAAAGAAACATAATGTCATGGCCGTCTTGAGTTTCCAATAATTTCTACAACTCTTATTTTTCTGTGATAGAGTGATTGGAACACATAGTTTTTTGTCACAAAAAACATTCATGAAGTTTGGTTCTTTTATGAATTTAGTATGGGTCTACTGAAAATGTGACCAAATCTGCTGGGTCAAAAATATACATACAGCAATGCTAATATATGGTTATGTGTCCCTTGGCCATTTTCACTTCAATTAGGCGCTTTTGGTAGCCATCCACAAGCTTCTGGCAAGCTTCTGGTTGAATCTTTGACCACTCCTCTTGACAGAATCGGTGCAGTTCAGCTAAATTTTTTGGCTTTCTGACATGGACTTGTTTCTTCAGCATTGTCCACATGTTCTCGATGGGGTTTAAGTCAGGACTTTGGGAAGGCCATTCTAAAACCTTAATTCTAGCCTGATTTAGCCGTTCCATTACCACTTTTGATGTGTGTTTGGGGTCATTGTCCTGTTGGAACACCCAACTGCGCCCAAGACCCAACCTTCGGGCTGATGGTTAGGTTATCCTGAAGAATTTGGAGGTAATTCTCCTTCATTATCCCATTTACTCTCTGTAAAGCACCAGTTCCATTGGCAGCAAAACAGGCCCAGAGCATAACACTACCACCACCATGCTTGACGGTAGGCATGGTGTTCTTGGGGTTAAAGGCCTCACCTTTTCTCCCCCAAACATTGCTGGGCATTGTGGCCAAACAGCTCAATTTTTGTTTCATCCGACCACAGAACTTTCCTCCAGAAGGT